GAGAGAGAGAGAGAGAGAGAGAGAGAGAGAGAGAGAGAGAGAGAGAGAAGTAGACAGACAGACAAAGATCAGGAATGAGACAACAGTTGTTGGTGCTATCCTTCCCTCAGCCTGAGTGAAGCGGAGTACAAAGGGGATGCAATGCAACCTCGATCCTGACCACGGCTCATTCATCTGTGATGTGCCCTTGTTGTGCTGAGAGTGTTGAATCTGGCAGGGACGTGCCATTTCTTATCCGCGCTATGGGGCTGAACCCGACTGAAAAGCAAGTACAATTCGCTATGAAGGAGGTTGGCCAATCATGTTAATACTACTGCTTATCCCCTTTTCTTGTGAAGGAGGACAGTCCCCTTTTCTTTCATCTTTTGGTTTTGAAAATCCATCATAAAGGAAGGGATCTGTTTGCTTGCCCCCCCTTCCCCCTCCCTCCGCAATACAAACCAAGGTTGCGGTCTTTTTGTGGGGAGCAGCACGTAAGGAGGGAATTAATATGAGAAATAACTCATTGTTCCATCAATCAAACAAGCTGCTAGGCATTTTTGTTCATGCATGATATTATCTACCACATGATTTTTGTTTTTGCTGTGTTTCTTTGGTTTGCTGGTTTTCCCTTTGTTACCTTGTGCTGTCTGTCTGCCCACCCACCTCCCCCATGCCCTCCAGCCTTTGTCCCTTGTTGCTGCCGCCTCCTGCCCTTTCCCTTACTGTTGTTTGTCTGCCTTTCCTCTTGTTTCACCCTGTCTTTCCAACCGTCAAACTGTGTTCTCGCCATGAGGACTTGGTCCGTTTGTACAAAGGCATCCTTGTTTGAATGCCGTCCCTGTGTTCTGCCGCTTCTAATCTTGCGATGAATTGTTTTGAAAAAGGTCGTTTGATCTGATGTGAAGCTTCACCGCTGGGGTTCTTATATATACTAACCACACACACACACACACACACACACACACACACACACACACACACACACACACACAGAGAGAGAGAGAGAGATTGAGAAGAGTCCCTCTGTTCTTGAACTATGCTTTCAGGTTCGTGCCTCTCTAGTTTGCCTCCATCTCTCTGCGCCTGACCCATGTGTGTAGGCACCTCACGTCATGCTTAAAGAGCACTCAGGGGTAGTCGTTTTCATCCTCATCCATGGGCCACTCGACACCCAGGGAGTTAATATGTATTTTGTATCCATGCCTGTTTTTGTGGCATCATGCCTCGCTTGTGTGTGTGATTTGAGTGAGTGGTGTGCATGCATATGAAATATTATGAACGGATTCGATGGATGGATGGATTTGAAGATGGGCTGGCAGGAAGATGCTAGCCAGACTAACCAGACTGCTGGAGCGAAGCAACACTTTCCAATTGAAAACTTCGAGAAGGCGATGTTAGAGGTGCTAACTCTGAAGCATCCTGAGTTCGTCCGGCCATCAGAGGAGACATTGCTCCGAGCCTTTCGGGTCAGTGTAGAGAATCTTTAATCGCTTCTAAAGTTCTCGTTTTCCTTTTTGGAGACCATGTGCAGCCTAGTACCGTCTTCACCCGAATAGAATGACCGGTCATTATTGGTGTATCTAGTAGACGGAAAGTTGCACGAGATACAGCTATTATATTGACTGGGCGTTCTATTCAGGTGAAGATGGTAGGTGGCCAGTCACTGCGAGCGTTCTAAACGGAAGAAGATGTGCCTAGCCGTCGTATCATTCTGTTCTCATTCTGTCTCAGCCTTTTTTTTTTTTTTTTTTGAACCGTGCTCCATCTATTGGTGGGGAGCAGCACCTGCTGGAAAACGGATCCAGCGTCCGATATTCTGTCTCAGCCTTGGTCCGACACCATTGCCCTTTCACTGTCTGTGTGTGTGTGTGTGTGTGTGTGTGTGTGTGTGTGTGTGTGTGTGTGTGTGTGTGTTTCTAAAGCACCCCAAATTCTATCGCTCATTTCGGCGACAAATCATAACAAACCATCCATAACAAAAAAGTATAGATAGACAATATAATAGAAAATGCAAGGTTGGCCACGTTCATGTGGTTCAGTGCCAAGTGCCCACACACCCGTCTGCTTCCACATATACTGTTTGACGATATAATAGATATATACATATATTTTATTATTTCATAAAGACGATCAATAGAGTCTACAAGCTCCTCTTCAACAACTGGACCAAGCTGGATGATTCAATCCCGATGCGGTCAAGTAGCGAATTCCCGGACTTCTTCCCGCCCCCCGCAAACAGCCTGGTAGGAGTTTCTTGGCACGGGGGAGAGTGAAGGAAAAAGAAGGGCAGCAGAGGGGGTACAAGGGCAACGAGGGAACAGCCAGACTGCTGGGAACAGGTCTGGGTTCAAAAGTCTATACGCACAGATAACACATCTAAGGGGGAAGGGAGGAACTAGGTAGTAGCAGTAGGTATCTGGCGCCGGTTTCAAGGTGAAGAGGCTCCCCCCTCCCCACTCTTTCAGGGTCTGTCACAAACACTGCCAAGGGTCCTCTATATCTGTTTGATCACGGTGTGAGTGCCAACTATTTTTTGAAGATCTAGTTTAAGGACCTGCACAGTCAATCCCCTGTATTTCAGAGTAATCAATGCTGCCACTGCCTGCCAGGAATTTTTTACTTAGCCTTTTTGGGATTCTCTGAATACAATCTGTATATGGGACGCTGGACCCGTTTTCCAGCAGGTGATGCTCCCCACCAATAGATGGAGCCTCTCCCCGGGTGGTAGTGGTGACTGCTCTTACCAGCACCACTACCACCGGAGGGGGGTTTAAAAAAATTAAAAAAAAAAATAATAATAATAATAAAAAAAAAAATCATAATCAATAGAAGGGTGGAGGGCAAAAGGCAACTTACCTAAGACTGAGGACTCCACCAGCACGAAAGCACTAAGTTGCATAGGTCCGAAAAAACTTGGAAAGCCCTCCGGGTCGGCCCACAAAACCACAAACTTAGTTAAACAAACCCAACAGCATAACACAAAAGGATCCACTAACAAAACTTGAAAAAAGCACCGACCACACATGCCAATGGTCTAAAAAAAATGTAGAGCCCTCTGCGACGGCCTACAACACCATGACAAATCAGAAATACACCGCAGGACCTGTACACAACACCAGGAGTGCGATGAACCTCCCCCTGCTGCACAACCTGCCGAATCGGAAGATGTCCTAGTGCTACAGCGAGGCCACTGGGAGAACTATGCCAAAATCGACACGATCTCGGTGCAACACCAGGAGCGCTAACACCCTAGAAGGCATCCCTTTTTTTTTTTTTTTTTTTTTTTTTTTTGACAGAAAGAAGCTCCAGTCTATTCGTGGGGAGCAGCACGTGCTGGGAACCGGGCCCAGGCACCCCATTCTTCCATGTGCTCCAAAAGAGCGGCCCGCGGGAATGACATCCACAGCAAACACTCTCTGACCCTCCTCGCAGAGATCTTGTGGCTCAAACCCCAAACTCCCACCCCAAAAAAACTCATGGCCACCCACAGACATTACTTCATTGACAACACAGCCCATGCTGCAAAGCCTGTCTCTTATACACATCTAGATGTGTATAAGAGACAGGATATATATATATCGTCAAATAGAACTGCCCGGTAAACCGTAGGCAGAGAGGGAGAAGAGGACAACAAACGAGGGGCTATATATATATATCGTCAACAAACGAGGGGCTGTGACAAACTGTTTCGTCGGAGTTTCACCGACTCATCAGGAGGCTGAACCCTCAACAGTCTGCAGAATCCCCTCACTGATTACACTGTAAATGATAATCTACCTTAACCAAAATCAAAGTAGACTATCACTCACCCACACCAGATGGAAAACTCTACAGACTGTCGGTTCACACCCCATCACAAGCCAGCAAAACATCCACGAAACAAAGAAAGGTCTGTCACAGCCAAAAAATACACTTATATATCCTGTTGAGGGTTCAGCCTCCTGATGAGTCGGTGAAACTCCGACGAAACAGTTTGTCACAGCCCCTCGTTTGTTGTCCTCTTCTCTCTCTCTGCCTACGGTTTTACTGGGCAGTTCTGTTTGTGACGATATATATATATAAAACAAACAAACAAAAAAAACATCCATCCACAGAGAAAGAGTAGCTCGCTAGTACGAGCCCGATCCTAAATGCTCACATCTGCCAAGTCAGAGTGCTAGCTAGACCGGAATGTGTGTTGTCAAAGCACCCCGAATTCTCTCTCTCATTCCCTCCACAAATCATAACAAACCATCCATAGCAAGCAAGTATAGATAGACCATATAATAGAAAATGCAAAAAAAAAAATTAAAAAAATGCAAGGTTGGCCACATTTGTGTGGTTCAGCGTGTCTGGTACAGGACTTCTGCAAGCATGCCGCGGCACGTTGCGTCGAGAGGCGTGCTTATAAACGACACATGAAAAGGAGCATGTAGCCAGGCACGCCGGTGAAAGGGATGCACCAAATGTCACGCTTGGAAACGCCATGAAGCGAAAAAAGAACCATAAGGGGAAAACAAGCCAAAAGGCAGCAAGGCAAAAACAGCAAAGCAAAAAATCGGCAAGGCGAAAGGCAAGAAGCAACAAGGCATTGGATGGCAAGCAGGAGCAAAGAACATGGGCTGGAGGGCATGGGGGAGGCAGGTGGGCAGACAAAATGCACTAGACAAGAAGGCACTGGATGGCCAACAGCAGCAGAGAACATAGGGTGGAGGGCATGGGGGAGCCGAGTGGGCAGACAAACAGCACTACGCTGAAAAGGAAAAGGCAACAAGCCAAGGAGCAGCGAGGCACAGAAACAAAATGAAGAGCGAGTATAAAAAAAAACACAGTGAACAGTGGACGTGATGACCCTACAGAGGGAGGAGCAGCCTAGTAGTCAGGAACTGAACCAGGAGCAGGAGACCCAGGCAGGGGAGGACATCCTATCACCCAGATACAGAAAAAGGAGGAGACCTCCTTGGGAGAGCCCTTGGTACACTGCCCAGAACACTGCATAAGAGGGAACCAGATTTCCGTGGGCAACGATGCGCATCCCCTTTCCCAAGAGACAGATGAACCATTGGCAAGAGCTGGGCAGCGAAATGGAGAAGCCCCGCCGTCAGGAGAAGACCGGAATACGAATAGATTGGATCATTTGTTTAAAAAAAAAAAAAAAAAAAAAAAAAGAGAAGAAGATCGGAATAGCAACCCGGGACCAAAAAGGGGCAGATCGGCTAAGCCACAGCGGAGACGGAATAAGGGGGTTACCTCTGGACCATCGTCAGACGCAGTGAAGGAGATGGGGCACAAAGGGGCGGGTCCCTCCCGACGACCTAGGGGAGGAACCCCGTGAACCCCGTCATCGGCTGAAGCCAAAGAATCCACTAGGAATCACTTTGCCCAGTGCTCCACACTGTTGTGGGAACGATGCCGATGGCAGTGGAAGACCGACAGGAACTGGGTAGGCAACTAGGGACCAAGCTCAACGTGCTGCAGCAGAGTGAGCAAGGGGATGAGCAGGACTCTTCGAGGAGCCAAGAGCGAGAAGACACGGGGGCGAGGGAATTGGTGGGGAAAGGATTAGGCGATGTCGGTCGTGGATTTGGGAACATGCATGGCTCCCGCAGTGCTAGGGACAGAGACAGAGGGTATGACAACGAGCCCTCCCTTCAAAGAAAAGAAAAGGAAAGGAGCAGGTGACCACTCTGGGTACGGGATCCAAAAGACGGTGTCCGGCTCGGATACAAACCTGCCAGCGTGTCCGCTCAAGCATTAACGCCTGGCGGGATGCCCGCTCATCCCAGTAACCAAGGAAGGGATTCTCCGCAGATCCCGATGGATCAGGAGGACGAAGCTGAGCGGCGTGACGAGGAGATGCACACACGGGGGGTGAACGGCAACACAACGGTGGTGAGACTAAGGATATCAGCGAAGAGGTTGTCCCAGCTATTTAAGTAGTGCTGACAAGGGCGCGGTGCGGCCGGGAGCGCCGCGCCCCTGTCGGTACGGCTCGGACGCCGGTACGTCTCGTACGGTGCGCTACGGAGGTGTTGGGCGACGTGGCAGGTGGCGGTGCGAGGCGCAGCGGCAAGGGGGAGTGGGATTGAGTGGCGTGAGGGAAGAGGTTCGAGCGGCGCGAGGGAAGAGGGTTGATAGTGATGGTCTGTCCTGTTGGGGCAGGGTTTTCGCAAAGTGGAAGGAACGTGTTGGTTGTGGCGACGAGAGAAACGGTGAGTTTGATTAGCGAGAGGGTGGAAACGGGGGTAGGGTGTGCATTGCGGTGAGGTGTGTGTCTCCCCCGAGATAGGGCTCCATGAGCACAGTTGGGAGGAAGAGTACAGCAAGCATGGCGAGGGTGGTGGTGCTTTGGACGATGACATCCCTCCATCTCTCCGGACTAACCTGCGAGGGGCGGCTGGCAGGTTCAGCGGTTTGGGCTCGCAACGTGGTGTGCCACGATCCATTTATCTTCATCGAGTGACTTTTGAAGATGGTCGAGTGAGTGTCGACCACAAGGTGGCCAGTCTTTGCTCGCAAAGTCGATGAAAGAGGAGGTGAGGTTTGGAGGGGGGAGGGGTGGATAACGAAGTGTGGGGACTTGGGGTACTCTTCCCCAGCTAGGCTTTGTTCTTCTAAGATGTGTTTCTTAGTTTTTTCTTTCTGTTTTTTTATTTGAGTCTGGTCCCTAATTCTGATTCTCAGAATTTGATTTCCATCTGCGAAATTGCATTCTCCTGGATATATCACCTAAATGATATCCTCATTTGATTTGTTAGAGCGAACCTTATCTTCGCGATTTTTTTCTAAAAGTCCTAGAACCTGATACAATTGCTATTTTGGTTAACAAGCTCTTGATTCGTTGTCTGAGTGAGATTTTCCTTATTTGGATTTTCAAATTTTATCAAATCTCATCTTCAATCCCATCTTTGAAATTCGTGGCTGATGATCTCAACTATGTCAGGATTATTCTTGATCATAGACATTCGTGAGTCCAATATGGGACGTCTCAGTTGGATTTCTTGAATTTTCGATCTTAATGTTTCTTTCCAATAAGGCTGTTGTAGACAGATTTCCTAATTGTGGTTTTAATACCTATTTTTCAAGAGTAGTTTTCGCAGTTCTTCTCTATGTGAATAAATCCCCATCTGCAAATCTTATTTCTTTGTCGTGATTGCAAATTAAAAAGGGGGGAGGTCGAATTAGGGGTAGGTGGAAGTGGGGGGATTCACTTAGATGAGGGACCGGCGGTTTAACGAGGTAAGTCTTACCAGAAGGGTGGGGTGGGACGACGTTGGCCGGTGCTGGAGCATTCGCTCTGTGATCAGGGGGAGCTTGAGGCCACTGAAGTTATGTCGAGGGTGCAAGGCATAACCATCTCGCCCAACGTAGTTGTGGCTGGGGTGTGACCCTGTAACCTTTTGAGGGGCCATGCAGCTAAGAGAGATGTCCAGGGGGGAAGGCACTCTCTGTCCGTTAGAATCAGTTAGATCGGTACTGGGGTTGTTTGTGTTCCTTTGTAACCCTAACATGGGGGTATGGGATTTGACGAGTTCTGGTACGAGGACTGAAAGCTGGATCGGCGTGTCCTTCATCGGTGGTGAAGGTAAGAGTCAGATTGTTAGTGGCTGCCTCCTCTTGTTTTTTCAAATGGAGAGTGAAATCGGAAGCATGGTTGGGAAGAAATTTTGGGGGGGCTCATGCAGGAGGGGAAGGGTGGCTCAGGAGGGTAAGTCTATTAGAAGGATGGGGTGGGGCGACAGTGGCCGGTGCTGGAGCAGTGCTCTGTGACCATGGGAGGAGCTTGAGGCCATTGGAGCTTGCCGAGGGTGGAAGGCATAACCACCTCTTTCAACGTAGCTGAATCTGGGGCAGTGACACTGTAACCCGGCAGGGGTTTGGCAGCTAAGGAAGTGTCGAGGGAGGAAGATGCTTCCTGTCCGTCAGAAAACAGTCAGTTCGGTGCTGGGGCAGCTTGTGTTGCCTTGTAACCCGAGCAAGGGGGGTGGGAGAACTGACGATTTCTGGTACAAGGACTGAATGCTTGAGTGACGGTTTCTCGCCTGTAGTGTGGGTTGGGTTTGGATTGATGGTGGTTCAGCTCTGATTTTGTTTCTCTAATTTCCTTGTTTAATTTTTTGAAAAAAGAATAAGGGGAGTGGGAAAAGATGGTGGGTTATCACGCGTCCTTCCAGTGAGGGGGCTAGCTGGCAGGATGGGAGTATGGTATAGCAGCAACTGAGATGGTGGATCCGCTGTAGTCAGTCTTGCCGGAGGGAGGTAAAGTGGATTGATGGGGAATTCTTCTGAGTCGCTTCTGAATCATGATGTTGTTATAGATAGGTTTGAAGTAGCCCCGATTCTCTGAGCTAATGCCGGGTAATGGCCCCGGTATCTTAATTTTCAAAATTCCATCCTTAGGCCAATTGGATTTTTCAAGTAGGTTTTAGCCTCATTTCCATGAAATTTCCTGATGAGTTGTCTGAATGTACTCGTTATGGGACGCTGGGCCCGGTTCCCAGTTTGTGCCAAGTTGTGAGGATATGGTTGTATCTATGGGACGCTGGACCCGGTTTCCAGCAGGTGTTGCTCCCCACCAATAGATGGAGAGTTGTTTTTTTGTGAAAAAAAAGAAAAAAAAAGAAAAGAAGGGGAAGTGCTTTGCATGCCCTCTGTTGTTTTGGTGGGCCCCATAGGAACTTAGGATATTGGTATTTAGGGAGGATTCTCGCTTCCTATTTACCAGCTGGATATGGAGCACATTCGGACGGCGAAAGAGGTACGAGAAAAAATCAGGGATTGGGTCAAGCCTAGGTTCATGGTTGGTCTCCTTCCCCCGGCTTCAGATGCCAGACTGGAAGCTTAGGATTCATCTTGTGAGCCCTTCATTATCGTATTTTATTCCTTGGCGGCTAGATGCAGGAATAGTGCGACGACTGATCCTGCGGCTAGATGCAGGAATAGTGCGACGACTGATCCAGCGGCCCCGGAGGCTGCTTGGGAAGCCTTCGCGAGAGTTTTCGGCCCAATTGCAGAGCCCGCTCAGTTCCCGCGCTGTGAATGGCCTCACAATGGAACAGTCAATACCACGCTTGAATGGCCGACTACCTCCGAACGCTAGGCTGGACGTTAAAACACAATCTATAACTGATAGGCAACTGGGGTGCAAGGGGGGATGGGCAGGAGGTTCTCCCTGGCAGGAATCGGCCCTGTGGCTAACTGGTGCGTCGGTTACGGAACGCTAACCTTGCCCACTCAATATGAACTGGATAACTAACTATCCATGACGACAACACAAAAACCCTTAATCCAAGGCAACAATAGGCTGTGCTAGGGACATGTCCCCCGGGTTGGGTCGGGGGCTGCCTTAGGTAAGACCTTGGTCAGGGTAGGACCAGTAGACACTGCCTGGGGTATGTTCGCTGTCTGACCAACTGAGGACTGGTGCTCATAAGGAAAGTGCATAGGACGATCATGTTTAGCGACCGAAGCGCCCCGTACGACAAGGCTCGTCCGATAGTGCTTCAACTAGAGCTGGGAGGGGTTGTCCTGGCCTAGCGCTGGCGCCTGCAATGCTGTCCAGTGTACCCGAGGTAAGGGTCAACAGTGTACCCCATAGATGGAGAAGCAGGGGTTACGCTAAGGAAGAAGAACGTTGAGGTAGGAATGGGGTGGGTCCTGCGAGCACCCAAAAAAAAGAAGAAGAAGAAAAAAAGAAAAAAAAGAAAAAGAAAAGAAAAGAAGAGAAAAGAAAAGAAAAGAAACACTAGCTTGGTCCTTGTGTTAGCCGGGCCCCCACCGGCGGCCCCAACCCTGCACCCTAAACGCTAGGGCAAAGGGGCAAACATGCCATTACCTCTCTCCACCGAAAGAGGTAACCTCCCTTCACCGAAGTGAGGTAGAAAGCTATGCTTGCAGGGGTCCCCTGTATAGCCTTGGGAGTAGTGGTAGGTAGGTAGTGAGAAAAAGATATGTTCCATGACAATGACATGGCAGAACGCCAGTTAAAAGAAAGATATGTGAGGTGAGAGAAAAAAAAAAAATGGCGGCCCCCGATGAGGAGAAGGCATTTATTTCTATTTTTTTATTGTAAAATAAATAAATAAAATTGGAACGATACAGAGAAGATTAGCATCACCCCTGACAGTGTGCAAGAATGACATGCATAAACCGAGAAATGGTACACAAGAAAGAAGGAAAGAAAGGCAAAAAAAAAAGTGAAAAAGAAAAAATGGCTTTGTTATGCTTCGTATTGGCTTGTACCATGGATTTGCTAAAGATCCTGTGTAATGTGCTGAGGATAGTAAAAGCTTTGGCTTTAGCCGGACCCCCCCCAAAAAAAAAAAAACTCTTGAAGTGTTGATCGTATGAAAGCGGCCCCCTAAAAAAGCAAAATCCAAAGCGTAGAGTCCACCCTATGTTGTGCCAGTAATTGCGATACAATACCTGCATCGGCGCCTTTTTTTTATATACATATATATATCGTCACAAACCCATTGGGGCAAGAGCTCAGATGCCCTTGGATTTGCAATTTTCCATTTATTTAGCCTCTTCAGACGTCCTGTGTTTTTATTTTTTCCTTTCTTCACCCTCTCTGTCAGAGACTTAGAGGTGCTGACTGTTTTGCAAGTTTTAACTTTTAAGAGTTCATGTCTGTCAGAGGTGCTGTTGTGCAAGTTTCAAGAGTTGTTTGGTTTGTTTGGGTTCTTGGGACTTTTTTTTTTTGCCATCGCATGACGAGTCGTGAAGCAAGAGATTTTAGTATTTTACCTGACATTGTTATTATATGTTTTATTTGCTAGTATTATTTTCATTAGTGTGTCTTGTTATTTCTTTTCTTTTCTTTCCCTTTTCTGGTATGTGCAGGCATTGGATAAGGAAGATAATGGTTATATCGAGCCAGAGGCATTCAAGGTAACCGCCGCGAAAGTGGAAAAAGAAAAAGAGAAAAAGAAAAAAAAAAGTGAAGGGGTAGCAGATAATGTAAACTTTTGCACTAAGTCCGCCGCAGGCAGTCATGGAGCTTGAACTCACAACATCTTGAATGCCACTTGTGTGCCTAACCAACTGAGCTAGGCCGCTGGCTCCGGATACCCATGATTTGTATTAGCAAGGGGGGTATATGACCAACACGGGTGTGAGTGTGATTGCGAGTGTGAGTGGGTTGTGTGTGGTGTGTGGGAGAGTGTTGGCCATAGCCTCTGCTGCTACTCAATGAGCCTGGGGTGGGGGACGATGAGAAAGGGAGGCACAGCGGACCCCCACCGGCGGCCCCGTCCCATCTCTGACTACGGCTGTTGGGGCGGGGGGCAACATGATTTACCTCATTTGCAAGG